TGCGGGGAAAAAGGGACAACGTAGGACACGGGGTTTGGGGAGGGGGACACATGGAGGGGGGGGGACACCAGGGACACCCTGTGCTGTCCTTGGGGACGTGAGGGACACCCCAGTGCCACCCCCCAGGGAACCAATGGCCACCCCTGGGGACCTGAGAAGCCCAGTGCCACGCCTGGGTACCCAAGGAACCCGAGAGACCCCCCCAGGGGTCACCCCTGGGCCACCCAGTGCCACCTTCAGGGACCCAAGGGCCACCCAAGGGACTTGAGCCACCCCTGGAGACTTGAAGGCCACCCCAGTGCCATGTCCAGGAACCCCATGCCACCCTTGGGGACCTGAGGGCCACCCAGTGCCACCCCTGAGAAGCCCAGGCCACCCCTGGGGACCCGAGAGCCACCCAGTGCCATCCCTGAGGGACCCCAGGAACCTGAGGGCCACCCAGTGCCACCCCCAGGGACCTAGACCAACTAGTGCCACCCCTGGGGACCCGAGAGCCACCCAGTGCCATCCCTGAGGGACCCCAGGAACCTGAGGGCCACCCAGTGCCACCCCTGAGAAGCCCAGGCCACCCCTGGGGACCCGAGAGCCACCCAGTGCCATCCCTGAGGGACCCCAGGAACCCGAGGGCCACCCAGTGCCACCCCCGGGGACCCGCTGGCCACCAAGGTGCCACCTTCTCCAGCGCCCTGAGGACGCTCTGCCGCTCCCGCAGCTTCTGGATGCTGAGGGCGATCTTGTGCCGGGCGCCCTTGGTGACGTTCTGGGGGGGGGGACAAAAGGGGGTCAGATGAGGAGCAGGGGGTGTCGTGTGTGTGTGTGTGTGTCCCCCAGACCCTGGGGGTGTCAGGGGACAGAGGGGACATCCCCCAGCACCCCCACCTGCGACTCGAGGTGATGCTCCGTCAGCGTCATCATCTCCTCGTAGGTCATTTGGGAGAAAAGCGCCGCGTATTTGTGCAGCCGCAGGCTCTTCAGCCAGGAGGGGACATCTTTTGGGGGGGACGGACATAAAAACGGGATAAGGGGGGGTGACAAACCCCCGTGACCCCCCCCAAGGGGTTGTGTGTCCCCCCCAAACCTTTCATGCCGCTGCCGTCCTCCTGGAAGGTGTTGCGGCCGCCGGCCGGCTCCTCCGTCTGCTCGCTGCCCGAGGAGGCCACGCTGCTCTGGGGGGACAGGGGCGCGTGGTCCCCGAAGGGGGGGCGCGGGGGGGGCCCGGGG